ATGATGTCAGCCACCAGGGGGCAGATGGTGGGGAGACAGGCCTTCACAAGGGTCGTGGGTAGTGGATCCAGGCTGCAGGATGAGGTCCCAGCTTTGGTCAGAAGGGCGAGGACTTGATCAGCATCCAACAGAGAGAAGGTAGGGAGGCAGTGCTGTGGTGGGCAGGCAGAAGGATAGTGCATGTCCTGCCGAGATAGTGTGGCCAGCGGGGGAGGTGTAGATGCCTGGAGCTGCTGGTGGATGGTGGCCACTTTCTGTTGGAAAAAGTCCAGGAATCTGGATCAGAGATCAGCGGCATCAGAAGGTTGCGGCGCATCGGGGGGGTCAAGAAGACGATTGATGGTGGAAAAAAGCAATTTGGGATGCTTTTGTTGGCTATTTATAAGTGTGGAGTAGTGGAGTGTTTTTGCCTGGGTGAGAGCCTCTTTGTAGCACTTGACGTGGTCTCTGTAGGCTTCGAGGTGGACAGTCAGGCCGGATCTTTTGTAAAGCCTCTTTTGTAAAGATTATGTCTCTCACAGTGGACATGCACCTACAATGACTATTTCAGACCCCTCAATGATTTCTATGTGGGAGAACTTGCGAATTATTTTCCTCACTGTATGTATATGTATATATATATATATATATATATGTATATATAATATATGTATATGTGTGTACGTTTGGAGGTTAGCGTGAAGCCTGAAAACTGAATACGGAAGGGCAATCAAGTTAACAGTAAAACACAGGTTTAGTCCTACAGTGACAGAAATAACTTAAAAACAAACCTCCAATTGGGCGTGCAGCTGGAGCAGTGGTTAGTGTGCACGACCCATGTACAGAGAGCTTAGGTTTGAATCCGATCTGTGGTCTTTTCCCGCATGTCTCTCCCCCTTTCTCATACCCCCTTTCCTGTCAGCCTACTGTCAGAAAAATGAGCCGCTAGTGCCTAAAAAACTCCAAATATTAACATATCTATTTTGTGTGTTAAGGATATCTACTGACCTTTAATGGGCGACAAAGACAAGTTGCCTTAAGAAAACATTTTGCATGAATAATCACATCAGGACACACCGACACTGAAAGTAATAGAAGAAAGTAGAAAAAGGCTCGATGCAGGGACAAGATAGGCTTAGAAAACATATAACCCTTCTCTTTATGAGTCTCACCAGCCTTTTAATTTAACCCGATACCCTGTCTGCAGTAAAAGGCAGACTATCGTTTGATCATAAATTAATCAATTCTGAGAAAACAGCTGAGTGATACAGGAAGGAATTAAACTTCAGGTTCCTGTTTTAATGAAGCTCTTGTTGGCCCTTAAGTCAGAGTATGAACAAAGTCACATCAGTGGAATTAAAAGTAGGCTAAAATATTTGACCCTCTACTCTCAACATCATTATTTTCAAATAGGCATTACAGTCCATTTTAATTTGTCTAAACATAGATCTATATTGGCTTAGACCCAAATAAGTTTACAGCCAAACTGGTCCACCACTAGTGTTTGTGGTGGTGACTGTGGCCTTAATAAACAGTGAGCTTCTATGATGTGGAAGAATAGAAAAGAAAGAGGTCAACTCACACTCAGCAGGCATCTGTAGCCATCAACATGGCCCCGCCAATCTGCAGCTGGCCTCAGCGTTCCTCCCTCCCTCCCTCCTCCCGACCCTGGTTCCCCTCCAGCACTTAACGGGGATTTTAATGTTGTCTGGTCATCTGTCAGGCAGATCAGATCAGAGCTGTAATACACAGCAGCAGGTCACACAGATTAGGCCGCCGCCCCATGCATAACTTGAAAAACAACAGTGAAAAAAAAGAAAACAAATAATAATAATCCTACAGTTACTGGAACAACCCTCTTTTTCTGCACAGTTGCCATGTTTTGGAATATAAAGATTCACATGTTCAGAGCTGATGGGACGGAGCGTCTGAACATTTTGTCATTTTGTTCTGATTCACCTTATTGTTATAATAATAATAATGCAACAAGTAGATTTAATCTTAAATGTTCATGAAGAGTTTTAATTCACTTTCTTTTGACAGTGAACTCTGCAACAAGCCTTATACTAAGATAAGCTGCAACAAACATTCCCCACCTAATGAATCAGCTGCCATGTTTGAACGTTGGTTCTTTGATATCGGACTCTGTTATCATCTATGAGCCACACCTTATGTCTTTCATCATGGCCTAATTTCACTCACCGTAGAACTAGTGCTGCATAGACATAACCAAAAAAATGCTCTTTTATATTGTAGTAAATTGCATATAAATATATTTTCACTAGGAAGATAAATCACATGCCCTGTCAAAAGAATTAAAAATATTCTTCCTGAGACTGTGTTGTAAAAATAAAAAGTTTAGATTCTATATAAAACTTTAAAGTTGGAATTTGTCTCAACTTTACGCTTCAATGCAGAGAACCCGAAGGTAAAAGTAGAATTTGCAAATAATTTATTGTCCCTTTGTTAATCGGTGTTGTAATGTCTGTTAATTATCTACCCAGGATTTGGACTGGTTACTATCATGTCCTCTGAGGAACTCCTACGCTGCGCTTTGGAGCAGATCTAAACAAAGCAATGTGGAACTTCCATCCATTTTAACAGTTATTTTGATAAAAGACCCCCAATGAATCTTATATTTTGCTCTAAGATAATTTCACAGAATGTTCTCACAGTATCTAATTTTATTATTCTGTAGTTTTTATCATGCCTACACTTGTAACTTCAAGGTTTTCGAATTTAGGTATAAACATTATCTAACTGCAACATGCAAAGAACATGCACAGACTTCTTCTTTCCACTCCCTGCAAAGATAGTAAAACTCCTTAAAATGCATTCTTTATTACGCAAGTGAAGAAAAATCAAACTTTTAAAATAGATACATTTGTTTCAGCCAAGAGGATAAATCCTTTATTACAAAAAAAAAAAGAAATAATTACTGGTACTTGCTGATGGACAGCAGGGACTCAACATCACAGTCCTGGACACTAAGGCAAGCTGGACGAGCAGAGATTTTCTGCTGAAGTTTTTAATAGTCTTTTTATCCACTTTGCTTTATCTTTTTTTTTCAAAACAAGTAATCCTCTGTTTTTGTTCTTACCCTGACACGTGCCTTGTGCAGTGAGCTGGTCGACAAGCTGCTCTAGAGGACAAGGCTTTTCCCCTCTGCTTTCCAACTCTGCTTCACAACTACACAGAGAATATACTTTAATCTGTCACTGTAGATGTCAAAATGTGTGCAGGGTTAAAAAAGTGCAGAAAGCAATGGAGGAGGACAGTCTAATGTTTATTGTTTTGTACGTCGACAATTTAGTATAGCAATGTGAACCAAAAATATCAACAGGATTTGTTTGGGGTTTTTTTATTTTCAGAAACTTTGAGTTGAGAGGAGAACGGATGAGAAATGCCAGTGACGCACTGCTTTGTTTCCCATCTTTCTGCTTTTGACAGGGAATTTACAAATCCCAGCATTGACGGGGGGAAAAAAATCAAACTCAGAAAACATTTAAGACCTTAATTTGTGCTGCACTGATTTCTGTAGCAGCAAGTATTTAGGTGAGAAATTACTGAAAAAAACGGAGCCAATTAACAATTCTTTCCTGTCAAATTTATATTATACGTATGTATAGATATATACTTATGTTAGTCAGACAGACAGATTACTGGGAGCAATAAGATAGATAGATAGATAGATAGATAGATAGATAGATAGATAGATAGATAGATAGATAGATAGATAGATAGATAGATAGATAGATAGATAAATGTACATATATGAACAAAACCACTCATATATTTTCTTATCATTAATTCCTTTAACACTATACTAACGTCTTTATAATTTATCCTAATTTTGCCTTATGAAGTGAATGGAGGTTTCTATTTTTAACTTAGAGCATCTTTTTATTTGTCTTGTCATAAAGGGCAATCAGACTATGCTCCATATTTCTTTGACAATGGCCCTAGCAGCTCAAGTGGGAATATGGCCTTGTTCAGCATCTCTGAGGATACACCTGTCGGTATGTNAGATAGATACATAGATACATAGATACATAGATACATAGATACATAGATACATAGATAGATACATAGATAGATACATAGATAGATACATAGATAGATACATAGATAGATAGAGAGACACATAGATAGATAGATACATAGATAGATAGAGAGACACATAGATAGATAGATACATAGATAGATAGATACATAGATAGAGACATAGATAGATAGAAAGAAATGCAAAGCATGGATAATCTTTTGAAAATTTAATGTCTTAAAATGTCCATCTAATTATTTGTGTATCTATTTATGCATCTATCATTCATGCAATCTATCAGTCCACCCATTGCAAAATGGCTGTTTTTGCATCCTTTCACCATTCATTCCTTTATCATCCTGTCATGTTTTACTTGTGAAAACACCAAAATGCAGAGACTAAAAACAAAAAAAGCTGAGGGCTTGTTTTTTAAATGAATAAAATAAAAAACTTATTATAAGGCCTTGCATGGCAGGAATTAGACCAATAAGCATGGATAAAGAAAAATGAAGTATGCTAGGAAGGTAGTGGTTAAATGCGCATTCTGAAACAGATGTCTCTTCAAAATGTCAATATAGTCTCATATTGATAAAGATTCTCAAATGATAACAGACAGTTTAAAGGGAGAGCCCAGCAAGAAAGATTGACTACAAATGAGCTTAAATACAAAGCACAATGAACATAGTAAATACTGAAAAAATGAAATAAGATCAAGACCCAAACATCTGGAAATTGTGACATATCCTTTCATACATCCTTGCCTTATTTTATCCTGGCTTTCATCGATCCACCGAGTCTATTATTGTGGTTTCCCTATCTGCAGAAATTACCAGGTAGCACGATCTCAGCTTAATAAACGGTCTTATATCTGCTTTATTTGTTGCTGTTGTATAAAACCTCAAACTCAATGCTATTCCTGACATTTTGAATTGAAAAAGCTTCCTGGATGGGAAGTAAAACGTCTTCAAACTTGGAAACCAAGTCCACTGGATTGTGTTTCTTTTTTTTTTTTTTATGACTATGACCTGGATGACTGAGAATCTTCAGCAGCATTTTGCAAACTATAGTTCCTTTAAGAAACACTTTTGTTTAGTAAAGTGTCTTCTTCTCATGATTCATTCTTCATTACCAGTCCTCTTGTTGACCCATTCCTCAACTAACCACATTCAGTATGCATAAGTCCTCCACGTTAAAATAATCTGTTTAGATGTTTGTGGATGAATCTGTTCAAATAAAAAAAGAAATCCTTTCAATTTCAGTGTCTGTGACTATGGTTTCAATAATTTGATAAGAATTACATTTCTTGATATTTACACTATAATTTTTTTGCTGTTGCAGTTTTTTATAGAAAAATATTGACCATCTATCTTATCATTTATTTCTTTGTATTTTAATGTGGAAAAATATTTTTTTTTCAGCTGCAAAACGTTGAAAAAAAACTAACCCAGCCCCACTAAGCTGAGCTCATTGCTCCTGTGGATCCTCACAGTGGATGTCCCTCTCCTCCCCTATAAAAGCCAGCAGGGAAACCCCATGAAAACACAGAGCTGCAGACAGAGGATGCTCAGACTGGACAAGGCGCTCTAGGAGTTCAGGATCTGTATTGATGCAGCACTTTTCCTCTGTTTTTAATTCTACTCGCTCTTTAGAAACTATCTGATCTGTTTCTGAAGCTGCTCATCAGGGAAAAGTTTGTTTTTTATTATATCAATAGCTTTACTTTGGGTTGTTTTCATTGAAAAAGATCCTAAATTACCAGCATGCTGTCCAGCGTACGACGGCACAGTCTTCGCCTCCAAACGGAGCTCCACCGCTGGAGCATCTGTGACCCGGGCAGCCACCTCCTCCCGGACGGGCTCCTGGCCCGCGTGCCTGCCTGCATCTCGCGTTCCAAGTCCTGCGCGAGCTCCACCGGGGAGTCGGAGTGCAGCCGCGGGAGCTGGTCGTCCTCAGACTCGGTTATCTCCGTTGACTCCGTCGGGGGCGCGGTGGAACCCGGGAGCCCCTACCGGGTGGTTCTGCTGGGGGCCAGCGGGGTCGGAAAGACGTCTTTCACCAGCATCTTCGCAGGCGCAGCGGACAGCATGGACAGTGATGACTATGAGCTGTGTGGAGGTAAGACATGTTGAAAATTATTATTTACTTCTAGATAAGATTTACTGGCTGCTCAGGGTGGGGACACAGAAAAATATGAAACACAAAAAAGGGCAGTATTTATGATTTAAAATATAATTATAATATAATTAAGTGAAAATTTCCACATCAATTAGTTGAATTAATCTTTATGTTGTGTCAATTAAAAAATATATATTTTTGGCTTAAAATTGTTTATTTTCCTTTACCAACATTTAAAAGTCCTTCACCATGAAAATAAATCAACTCAATTAATTAGTTATCCAAGACAAAACAATGCCATTATTTGATGATCATCATTCAGAAATATTACATATTTTGACTTATTTTTCATGAAAATTGCCAGTATTATTTAAATCAGTAAAACTAATAAATTGAGCTGTAACAAATGAGAATTTGTAAGCATATTTTGACGTGGACGACTGAAGCTGTTAGCTTAATTTTTGACTAATAATTTAAATACAACTGTATAAAAAGGGACTAATCAGTTATTATGTCTGTTCCAGCAAAAAATAATCATTAGAATTCTTTTTTGTATCATGTCATAATGGGGCCCCAGGACCAGTTCTACGGGGGCAAAGGCCCCTTTTGGCTCTCCCAAGATCCGCCCATGTTATCTGATAATAAAATCATACAAATATTTGGTAGAGCCTTAGGGGATAATCTGATGGAAGTAGGGAAAACATGTCTATATTAAGACTAGAAGCATTACATCGAATACATACAAATGAAGATTATTTCCATGTTTATATTTAGATGAAGTGTCTGAGAGGGAAATTGAGGTTGATGGAGAGCCTGCAACAATAAACCTGCTGGATACCTGGGATGCAGAGGTGAGATAACATACACTGTACCCTGGATGCTGCCCTGCATTCTCCAACCTTTATTTAACTCTTTCTCATCTTTTCAGAAAGGTGATGAGTGGACTCAGGAGCGCTTCATGCAGATAGGTGATGCCTACCTGCTGCTCTACTCTATTACTGACCGGGCCTCCTTCCTGCGAGCTTCTGAGCTCCGGATAACTCTACGGCGCTTCCGTCCTGCCCGGCACACCCCTATAATCCTGGTGGGGAACAAGTGCGACCTGGTGAGGCGCAGAGAGGTGTCGACAAGTGGTAAGAAGGCATTATCTGAACTTTTAAACAGTCTGCCAAGTTAGGAACCACACATTTGAGTGTATTCCATGTGATAGTCCAACAAAGATGTAGCACATACTAACTATAAACTGAATAGTTTATTTCTAAATGCTGCAAAGAATGAAACATGATGGAGGCAGTGTCTTCCTGTTGGGATGCTTTCCTTACCTGGTCAGGGTTGATTGGAAGATTAAAGGAACTAAATACAGGGCAACAATACAGGCTTTAAAAGACATGAGACTGCAGTGGAGGTTCATCCTCCTGCAGGATGGAGGAATCAGACATACAACCAGTGCTATGATTACACTTAGAGAAAGTACGCTGGTCTCTCAGATACATAACATGTCAAATGTTGGGTGTTTTAACAGCACTACATGTCATCTAGCAGGCACATGGATATTTCAACAAAGCATCGAAGTTTGAAGCTATCTAAAGGATTTTCTTTTCTGTTTCGCAGAGGCCCGTGCTTGTGCAGCCGTGTTTGACTGCAAATTCATCGAGACCTCCGCAGCCATGCAGCACAACGTCTGGGAGGCTTTTTACGGCATTGTGAGGCAGCTGCGCCTGCGACGAGACTCCAAAGAGGACAACAGACGTCGCAGGCACATACACAGTGACAAACGCAGAGACAGCCTTCCCGTTAGGGCCAAGCGTTTCCTGGACAAAGTGGTGGCGAAAAACAATCCCAACATGGCGTTCTGGCTTAAATCCAAATCCTGCCACAATCTGTCAGTGCTTTAGATCACACTGAATGCGGGTGGAAACACCTGAGAAGGTTAAACAGGTTAAAGGTTGGAGGTAAATAGCTGTGAACAAAGCTGGACAGACCTTCACTGCCTCTGAGGAGCCATGAGTTGGATGTTTTGCCATCCACCCCCCATCAGCAAAGGTGGTGGTGCAGGTGTGCAGCATACCTACCTATATGTGCTGTCATCAAACTGAGTGGACTGTATCAGTTGGACATGTCATAAATCATGGGACAGATCTATGGTATCTGATGCATTTAATGGAAACAAAAAAAAGCTGTGATCTTTTCCTTCTGTTTTCTTTAAACTTTTTTCTCTTCATATTTTTTTTCCATATTTTGCCAAATCCTAAATCACCTGCCCCCCCTTTCTTCATATATCATTTTGAAGACCTCTGTAATAATTACACATTTTGTTTTTTCTTGCTGATGCAGTGTTTGATGCAGTAAGTGTAAAAAGATTGATCACGTGTTGCATTTTGCTATTTTGCAATTATTTGAAGAAATAAAGAGAGGTCTTTTGTTTGTAAGAAAGTGCATCAGGCCTCTTTTGTGTGTCTTTTCATCATTAGTGATGAGAAATTGAAATGGATGACTCATCCTTGGCTCACAAAGGATGCACACTAGTTGGTTTTAACAGCAACACAACTGAGATGAAAAAGGATGAGTCAGGTGGTGACTGTAAGGCTGAGAAACAGAATTAGCCCCTTAGTCTCTGTGTCATTTTAAAGGGTGAAGATGACAATGGATCGGCCATGAGCCACACTCAACTTTAAGCTCAGATTCTACACCTCAAACTTCTCTCTAACTGCTGATAGAATATATTGCTGAGATAGCATTCATTGTGTTTGTGCCATCTGTATGATGATTTAAGGAAAGCAGGCAGGTGGCTTTTGGTAGGTTCGCGTTTGTCATTTACATAACAGTCACTTCATCATGTCTTCATCTGCTGAACATTCACTGCAGTTAGAGAGCAGGACAATCAAACAGACTCAATCACAGCCTGCCTTTTTGTTGATTTGCACCCTTTTCTCAGCCTTACCTGCAAAGCTCTTGGCTCATTTTGCTCATGCATCAGGGTGCATGCAGCGTAAGGAAGCTGCAGGTAAAATTCTGAATGGATTGAACAAATTAATCACTCTAATTGGCAGAATTTGTCCAGTTTATTTAAATGTGATGTTTTCATTATGGAACCAGTCCAATCCTTTTAGTTAGAGTTAATGGTATAGTGGATAATTTTGGCAAATGTTTTAAAAAGACACACCATCTTAAAAAAAAATGCACATGCACAGCCCTGTACCCACCCCCAAGAGGGAGTGCCTATTAAAGGATTGCGAGAGCATGCATAAGCCCATTTCTCCTTGTGCACACTCTGCTTAAAAGTTGCTGTTTGCATCACTCATACAAGCTTACTTTCCAAAAGAAGATTTGAAAATTTTCCAAATTTTCCAAAATTTTGCCTTACATAAACATATCACCAGAATGATTGACAATTAAGAGGACCACTCATTTGGATGATCCACCCAGAAAAAGAACACCCTCCACTATACCTTTAAGGGTTACCGCTTTGGCAAATAAGTATCATAGCGAAGTTTGAATCCGCAACTGTGTCCAAGCAAACAATCGACCTGTTAATTTGAAATAGAGTTGTGGTTTCTTCATTAATCTGTCCACTTACCGCATTGAGGGCCAGATTTATCAAGATCCAATTTTGCGTGCAGTTTGTAAATTTTTTTTTAGCGTGCGCAGTGAAATAGCTCACGTTTTTATACACGCAAACCTTTGATAGATCCGGCCCTTAATTGGTTTCATTGGCACTGAAACAACCTCAAAAAATAATGCTGCCACTACTGTGCTCGATAATTGATCTAGTGTTATTAGATGACAAAGCTTACCTTGGCTTAAAGTTTAAGGAGTCTATTTAGCTGGGTTTCTACATGCTGGGTTTCTAATTTTTTAGCATTTAACTATGTCCCAGTGGAATATGGAGTAATTTAGCTCCAGAATTTCGCCAGTGCCCTATTGTCAACATTATAGAAACATAAGTATATTAAAGAAAGAAAGATTTTACAGATAGATAGATAGATAGATAGATAGA